TGATGAACACAGATGCTAAAATTCTCAACAAGATCCTAGCAAATTGGATTCAACAACACATCTCAAAAATCATCCACCCGGACCAAGTAAGCTTTATTCCTAGGATGCAGGACTGGTTCAACATTTGTAAGACCATAAATGTATTTAAATACATCAAGAGATGTAGAAACAAAGATCACATGATTATATCATTAGACATGGAAAAAGTTTTTGAGGAAATCCAGCACCTCTTCTTGATAAAAAACCCTCAAACATCTAGGCATAGACGGAACATACCTCAAAAATAGTAAGAGCTATCTCCGAGGAACTCACAGCCAGCATACATCTAAACAGACAGGAATTGGAACCATTTTCCCTGAAAACCTGAACAAGACAAGGATGCCCACTCTCACCCCTCCTTTTTGACATTTTTTGGAAGTCCTAGCTAAAGCATTCGGACAAGAGAATGAGATCAGTGGTATCCAAATAGGAAAAGAAGAAGCCAAGTTATCCCTCTTGCAGACAACATGATTCTATACCTCGAAAATCCAAGAGAATCTGTCAAAAACCTTCTTGCACTGATAAAGGACTTTGACAAAGTCTCAGGGTATAAAATCAGTGTGCAAAAGCCAATAGTATTTCTATACACTAACAACAAGCAAACAGAAATTCAAGTAAAAAGCACAATCCCATTCACAATAGCCAGAAAAAAATCAAATCCCTTGCCATCTTCCTAACCAGATATGTGAAAGACCTTTACAATGAAGACTACAAAACACTGCTCAAAGAAATCAAAGATGACACAAACAAGTGGGAAAATATCCCATGCTCATGGATTGGAATAGTCAACACTGTTAAGATGTCCATTCTACCCAAGGCAATCTACAGATTTAATGCAATACCCATTAAATTGACAACTACATTCTTCTCAGACCTGGAAAAGACAATACAGGAATTCATATGGAAACAAACGATATGAATTGCCAAACCAATCCTCAGCAAAAAAAGCAAAGTAGGAGGGATCACACTCTCAGACTTTAAACTCTATTATAAAGCTACAATAATCTAAATAACCTGGTATTTGTACAAGAACATGCATGTAGACGTTGGAACAGGATTGAGATTCCAGAAGCAATACCTCAATTTCTCAACCAACTCCTCTGCTACAAAGCCTCCACCACCAACCACTGGGGAGCAAATGGTGCTGAGAAAACTAGCTGACCACATGCAGAGAATTAAAACAAGATCCCTACCTATCACCATACACAAAAAAATCAACTCTAAATGGATCAAAGACCTAAACGTAAAACCTCAAACTAAGCCGGGCTCGGTGGCTCAGCCTGTAATCCCGCGCCTTTGGGAGGCTGAGG